TCCCCCCCCCCCTTTTTTTTTTTTTTATTGTTTTTTTATTGTGTGTCCTTCCTTTACAGTCTTTTATTGACAGTTTGCTGCAACTGAAGGATTGGAGCTCAGACGTGGAGGAGATCGGCAAAGATGATGATGAAGATGGCGTGCTTGCCAGTATCAAATGGGATTTTGAAAATGGGGAACCTTTAGGTAAGAAGCAATGCCCCTCACCCCTCCAATGTCCAATCCCTAACCCCAACCCTCTTCCCTTGATTTGTAATGTCAAAGACTCTGCCACTGCCCATTTGGGGCAAAGCGAGATCCCTTTTAAATCCCACCCACGCATTTTCCCACACGCTGCATCGCTTCTCATGCACTTTGAGCTTCTATGGCTTTTAAAGTATATAAACCCCAAAAACAAAATCTATTGCAGCTCATCTGTCCTTCGCTGTGGCGACTGCCTTAGAGTTCCTTTTTTTTTTTTTTTCCATCTAGAGGTCCTGCCAGTAACACATTACCTGTGTTGGAGTGACAACGCTCACTGCTGCATTTTATCTATGGAGGAGCAGTGTTGTCACCCTGGGGCAGGAAATGTGACACTACATCAGGAGGAGATGTTTTGTAGTCGCTTAACCCCTTCTGATAAAATAGTTTCTGCTGAGCGCGCTGGATTTCTGGCAGGACCAAAAGATATTTTTTGCACTCCTTGAACAGATGCAACAAAACACTAATTTGTATATTTAACTGACCAAAAGAGAATAAATAAAGTTAATTCTTGGCGTTATGTGAAGTTTTAAGTATTCATGTTTTTTTTTTGGGGTACTTTTTAGGAGCTCCTCAGAAGCAAACGATAAAGAAGCTGATCTTTGCTGCAATGGTAAGGTTTTATAATATTACATTCAGTGCCATTTTTATTAGAGATGCACCAATACTGATACTAGTATTGGTGCCGATACCGAGTATTTAGGCGAGCACTCGTACTCGCCCAAATGCTCCGATACCGGAACTTTCGGTCAGTGGAAGATTTTCTCTGACCGCCAGTGCCGTAGGGGAACATGGAGCCAGCTTCCCGTGCGATCAGGAAGCTGGGCAGTTCGTAATGACCCGCCTCCTGATTGGCTGAACAGCCAGCTCCTGGCTGATTTGGCCAGGAAACCGGCTTCCCGGCCAATCGGGAGGCGGGTCATTACTCGCCACATGGCTTCCTGATTGGCTGGGAAGCCGTCTCGATGACAGCAGAAGCACCGGTATGTGTACATCCCTAATTTTAGTACTAGGGGTCCATTTTAATGTCCTCATCTTGCTTAGTGTAAGGGTTTTATTTTCAATGATCACATTGTAGGAAGCGTCGCCCTCGTTAATGTGTATTTGATTGGCCGTCTTTTGATTTGCCCTTTTTGTGCTCCTTTTTAGCTGAACGCATCTCTGAAGAGCGTTGAATCGGAGAAGAAGCAGCTGTATGAAAACCTCTCTGATGAAATTAAGGCCAAAGAGCATTTTTCAGGTAAACAAGCGAACGGAAGCCATCTGTGTGTCGGGGGCGGTGATCAGTACTCGGAATTATGGAGGAGCTGTCATTAAAGCTGAACTCCGGGTATTAAAGTTTTTAGGTAATTTTATTATTATTATTAGCAAATGGCCACTTCATAGTAACTCCAGTAATCCTGCAGAATAGGGGCTCGGTGTCCCATTCCTGCTCGACCAGTGACCATTGTGCATGATCCTTCCCCCGGGTCACCGGTCGTGTAACATCCCTGCTGTAGTTTTATGTTTACCCGTAGGGGTGTAACTATGTTGCCCCTAGCTGTGGTGGTAGGACCCGGACATCTCAAACTCGCCTATCTGGCTCACTAACGCAACCGAATTTGATTGATAGACCTGGAGTCTCCTGGTCCGTCCTGCCCACAATGGCATAACACCATGATTGACAGGCCGGGAGACTTCTGCTCTGTCCCGGTCTTGATGACCCAATACCACGATTGACAGGCAGGTAGACTCCTGGTCTGTCCCGCCCACCAGGACATAACACTATGATTGATTTCACAGGCCAAGAAATTCCTGACTGGTCCAACCCATGATAACATGACCCTGTGATTGACAGGCAGGGAGACTCCTGGTCTGTCTTGACTTAAAGGAGAACTATGGGGTTAAGGCTTTTCCCCATAGTTCTCCTTAGGGTAACGGGAGGACACAAACTAGCATCCTCCCGTCACCCTAAGCTCAGCTACAGCTCGCGGTATACTGAAACGCTGAAGCGGATCCCGACAATTATGTCTGGATCCGCCCAGCTGCGTGAGTGACAGCTGGGTCTGCCTATCTTGAGGCAGAGCCCCTCCCCATCTGTTCTGCTAGTCAGCGCTGGCGGATCAGAGCGGGGAGGGGGGAATCCAGCCCCTCCCCCTGTCACGCCAGAGTGCCGTGACAGGATCGAGAGGTGAGCGAACGCCAGTATGTGTTCGCTCACCTCCCGATCTACTGAGCCGACCTGTGACAGTCTCATTGTCACAGGTCGGCTAGAACTATGAGGTGAGTGGAAATCGCTCATCTCATAGTTCTGCTCCTTTTTTAAATGACCTAACACCATGATTGACATGCAGGGACGACTCCTGGTTTGTCTTGCCTTAAATTATAGAACACTATGACGGGCAGGGAGACTCGCAATCTGAATTGTGCCTGCCGCAATCCTGCCCACATTGATGCAATTTAAAGAAAACCATTCCCATTGCATGATGGGAATTGTAATCTGATATAGCGGGACCGAATGCTAACAAGGAAGTGTCGTCGGTACTTCCTCGATCAGGAGTAAAGGAGAAGAGAGCAGAGAGAGGAGCCTGAATGCTTGGCCCTCCCTCAGCCTGCTGCTTCTCCTTTCACTGCCCAGTCACAGGCTGGGGGAGGGACAAGACCTATAGGTGTTACTGAACTGAAGCAGAGAAGAATCGGGTCTCCTGCCCTCCCAGATATGGCTGTGGCAGAGCTGTGTGGATCTCTGGACTGGATAGACAGAAATTCAAATCTTGTGGCAGGTGAAACTGCGCCCTTTATATGTATTAGGCTGTTTGCCGGGACTTCAGCTTCAAGTTGAATTTGGTTACCTTGCTCCCTGGTTTCGTTGGGCTTTTCTAAACTGTGACATGCGGGTTGGCAACCTCTGCACTTCAGCTGTTGTGCAACTACAAGTCCTTTGAGGCATTCCAAGACTCTGACAGCCACAGTTATGACACAGAAATGTGTAATGGGATTTGTAGTTGCACTACAGCAGAAGTGCCAAGTTTGCCTACACCTATTGTAGCACCTCAAGACACGATCATTTCCCATCGAGTCCCGTGATGCTGTCCTGGAAGACTAATGGAAATAGAGTTACCGGTAAGTCCTAACTCTGAATTTCTTCTTTTCAGAGTGTATCACCAATCTGCGGAACACAAACCAGTCCCTGTCTCTGGAGAAGACGCAGCTAGAGGAGGAGATGGAGAAGCTGAAGCAGAAGATGAGCGTCATGATGGAGGTGTACCAGGAAAACGAGACAAAACTGCACAGGTGGGAATGTGGACTTCTCATTAAACTCTCCATTGAATCTTTCCTCCCTCAGTGTAGCGAGCATACATGCCATCCATTGCAGCAAAGTCCTCCAGTGCCTTCCCCTTAGTTTTCAGCAGGTGACATATACTTGCCCCAAACCCCCCCGCCCCCCCCTCAATGTGCCCTTCCTTCCTGGCATCCTTTCCATGCCAGGATACACAGAATGCTTGCCCGTATAATGTCAGCCTCTAGCTCCGGCATAGGCACTGGCCATATTTCTCCTTCCATGCAACCCCCTTGTTCTGCTGCCCATGCATGGGATTGGTTGTTGGTGTCAGAGGAGGGAGGAAGTCTTTGCATAGTTACATAGACCACCAGTCCTTCTAGTTCAACCTAAGAAGGTGCCGGGATGCTTCAAAGATGGCGCCGGCTTCAGTTGGAGAGCAGGTAGAATGGCCGCCATATTATACAGTGATGCACATTGCCGCATTCCCCATTTCTAAAACATCTGGAGAACTTTTTGAATGTTTTTTATTACAGTGGATGTCAGGTGGTACTTCCACTTCAGAACTGATCCTCATTAGGGCATTTGTCAGCATTACCAAATCGTATTCTTTAGGGTGACTATAACCCCCATCTTTGCAGTGTATAAAAGCTGCGGTCACATCGACCTCATGTAATCACTCATTGGCCTAGGGACCTCCCAGGGGCTTAGAAGCCCACTGGCCTAGGCTAAGTGGACGTGGCCTCTTGCAAACAGGAGCATTGTGGGTGCTTTATATCATTAGGGACTGCATTTGTAGATGGATATTATCTAGTACACTTGCAGTGAGATGGGGGATGGTCACTATTGTATGGCTTTAGGCCAGCCTATTAAATCTCACTCCCTCTGCCTCATTCTTCATAGAACATATGGTACATCCGGCAGAGGGGCCAATGCTGTGGTGGAGCGATTGGGGTCTCAGTGTTTGCAATTAGGTACTATGTCAAAAAAGACAAACAAAGCCTAAAGACTTTGCCCTGTTTTTAGGAAACTGACGGTACAGGAGAAGGAACGGGTACAGAAGGAGACCAAACTCAACAAGGCAGATGAGAAAGTCTTCATGGCCGCCACTGAGCTTGTTACCGTCAAGTAAGCCTTGGCATTGTGTTCCGTTATTGTTGCTCCAATTGCTGGACCTACAGCGCTGACCAGTCCTCCTCCTTTTTCTTCTTCAGGACCCGGCTGACCGAACTGGAAGAGGAAACGGAGCGGACGGTGGCTTCCTACCAAGGGCAGGTAAGGACCGTGTAGCTGTGATAGGTTATAGAAAAAAATGACGCGGGGTGCACAGTCCCCACCCAATGGGAGCGATTGACCTATAGCGGTGACATGGATATGGGCACACCAATAGGAGGAATACAGTAACTTTCCCAGAGTTTTTGGGCCGCCGTTGTTTAACATTAAATGAGAACTATGGGGTCAGTGTTTTCCCCCATAGTTCTCCTTGGGGTAACGGGAGGACACAAACTAGCGTCCTCCCGTCACCCTAAGCTCAGTATATAGGGAGCTGCTGCTCGCGGTATGCTGAGACGCCGCACCTGGAGCGGATCCCGACGTAGATGACGGGATCCGCCCAGCTGCGTGACTGACAGCTGGCTCTGCCTATCTAGAGGCAGAGCCAGCTGTACCCGCCCCCTCCCCCGTCCGTTCCGCCAGTCAGCGCTGGCAGATCGGAGCGGGGAGAGGGGAATCCAGCCCCTCCCCCTCTCACGGCAGAGAGCCGTGACAGGATCGAGAGGTGAGGGAACCCGGTATGTGTTCGCTCACCTCCCGATCTACTGAGCCGACCTGTGACAGTCTCATTGTCACAGGTCGGCTTAGAACTATGACGTGAGTGGAAATCACTCATGTCATAGTTCTCCTTAACATGTAGACGGCAGCATCGGATATATAACTCTTACTGAGTATGGGATCATTCTGCCCTAAAATTGATCTCCCGGCCACAGAAACTTTAATTTATATATTCCACAGTGGCCACAAAGAATATAAAACCACTTTGTGTGCACCAAATAACTTTACAAACCACAGATATTACCTTTTATAAAAGTAGCAGTGACATCATCATGAGCAGAGCTGTGGGAGGGGCCCAGCAAGCCCCACCCACTACGTGCTGACTACAGGTAGGGGAGTGTGTTTTTATCATCTTTTTGAAGATTCAGACATGTTCAGTGCTACCTGGTTATACAATCTATCTGTTGGCTGGAGGATTCTCTAGTCTCACATACTTGTATATGTCCGATCACTGCACTGCCTCTCCGGGGTAACCATTGTGATCCCCTAAAATCTGGATGGGAAGGGGGTTTAACACCGCGGATGTCAACTGGTTAATTCTCTATCACTTTTTTCTTTAGGTGACATCATATGAAAAGAAATCTCATGATAACTGGGTGAGTGACTTTTATTTTTTCGTTTTGTCAAGGGATACAATACTTTTTATTTCGTTTTATATTATTGAGTATAGTGTGTAGCCTATCCATTCACTAGAGCCCGGTGACATCACTGAGAATGCAGCCTATCCGTTCACTAGAGACAGGTGACATCACTGAGAATGCAGCCTATCCATTCACTAGAGCCCGGTGACATCACTGAGATTGCAGCCTATCCATTCACTAGAGACTGGTGACATCACTGAGATTGCAGCCTATCCAATCACTAGAGACAGGTGACATCACTGAGATTGCAGCCTATCCAATCACTAGAGACAGGTGACATCACTGAGATTGCAGCCTATCCATTCACTAGAGACCGGTGACATCACTGAGAATGCAGTAGCAGAGCGCTTTACCAAGCCTGGAAAATAATGGGGTGTTATGTTTTTCCTTCTGTGTACAATAAGATATAAAACTCGTCGTGTAACATTCTAATAAAATTGTTTCTTATTAGCTCACTGCAAGAGCAGCAGAAAGATACCTGAATGATGTGAGGAGGGAAACGTCACATCTGAGACAGAAGTGAGTACACAGCAGATCTCGTACTGTTACATGGGCCCCATTTCTGAAAGGGCATGACCCAAATTTACCCCCAGACCTCCCTCTTCCCATCTATATCATCTTCCATCATTCGTTATTCCTTTTGTTTTCCTTACCACCTTCTTGTAGCGAGAAGCGGCTTTTCTGATGCCCTGTGATGGTGAACTTGTTAAATTGCATAGACAGCTTCACCACCAGAACTACAACTCCATTATTAATAAAGGGAGAAAGCATGGGGAAATGCACATGTATGACAGACCCACTGTTCATGTATGTTTAGACTTATGATATGTTCCTGTATTGGATTGAAAATGATTTATTCTTTTGCTTGGATAGATTAACGGAGGCTGAATATAAACAGGAACTCCTGGAGAAGGACCCATTTGCCCTGGACGTTATCCAAGCCATTGGGAGAGGTAAGTGGACTCTGAGTGAAGTCTCGAGGGGCCTGGGGGCAATCTGCTTCCAATGAGGGGAGAACGAGCCTCACTGACCATTCATACACAAGACCACACATGATACAATTGTAATTGGGAGATGAACCGTGCTATCATTTGAGGGTTCACAGTAAAGACCTGGGGATGGTTATTTTGGAGGTTTTTTTAATTTTTCTTTGGATGGCGTGAGGAAGTGTCCCCTTATGACTGACATACATACACATATTTAAAATATAAATTTATATATATTTATTACTCCAGGCTGGTCACGTGACTTGCAGGGTTCTCTTTACCTATTGTATTGATATGGGCACATTCCCATCAGTCCCTGCCCTGGAGGTGCTTACAATCGCAAGCCCCTATCTCGCATGCATACGAGGACCAATTTAGAGAGGAGCCAATGAACATACCAGCATGTCTTTGGAGTGTGGGAGGAAACCAGAGTACCCGAGGGAACCCCACTCAAGCACAAGGAGTACATGAAAACTCCCCGACCGGGATTTGAACCAGTGACCCTCAGTGCTGCAAGGAAGAAGTGCTCACCACTGAGCCACTGTGTAAGATGTCAGCTGTGCACCCTTACACAATGATTGCAGGGCACCGCATCCAGGGCCCCTCCTCACTCGCAGTATGTCCTCCGTTTTCTGAGTGAATAAATGCAGAAGACTGAGGACATACTGTGAGTGTAAGGGCTCATTGGCCCCCTAAAGCTTAACTTTTTTTCTATTCCCATCTGAGGGGACATTAAAAAAAAAAAAAAAATCCAGAGTTGGGTTTTTTTTTGGGTGGGGGGGGGCGGGAAGGTGACCAAGTTGTATTGCTTAACTTCAGTAGAATAAAGTGCGTTCACAACCTGGCTGTGCTGTGTGCCAGAGTTGTGTGAGTCTAAGAACTGGATGGACAGAAAACCAAATCCTTTTTGCAGGTAACGTATATTATAATTATATGCAAAAAGGATTTTTTTTTCTCAGACCCACGGGGTCCTGACGGGGCCACACACTGGTCAAATGTTAGCATATCTGGGCAGAGGAGACCAAATGGGGGAGTCAATTCAACATGGCGCCAGCCTCAGTGTTTCGAAGGTTGGTACGGCGTGCAGTGTTCAGCGGGGTAAGGGAAACTTTCTTCAGAGCTGAGCATTGCAACAGGTTTTTTTTTTTTTTTTTTTCGCTTTAATATTTTTTTTCCAAGATTTCTTTTTTCTACATTTACCACTAT